CAATCCTACTGCCTCAGCCTCCCAAGTAGCTGGGACTACAGGCATGCGCCACCATGCCCGGCTAATTTTACATATATATATTAGTTGGCCAATTAATTTGTTTCTATTTGTAGTAGAGACGGGGTCTTGCTCTTGCTCAGGCTGGTTTCGAACTCCTGACCTCGAGCAATCCACCCGCCTCGGCTTCCCAGAGTGCTAGGATTACAGGCTTGAGCCACCGCGCCTGGCCCATCCCTGATTTTGATAGGGAGAAAACCCCACCCCCATGGCTGAACTCACTGCTGATTGGATAACATGCTCGTAGTTGATTGGTTACGTAAAGTTTGCTGCTGATTGGATGTTTTTGAATCCCACTGCTGATTGGATAATTCCTCATGCTCATAGTTGATTGGTTGTGTATAAACCCAGGAAGTGTATAAAACTGGAGGAGAACAAGGAAGCGGTGTTCAGAATTTGGTGGCATGCCCCTCTGAGCTGGCCAGCGTAATAAAGGCTAATTCTCCGACTCTGTGTGCTGCTGGGTTCTTTCCCTGGTCAGTCGCTGTTAACACTTGCTGTTACACTTGCTGAAACAATTTGATTGTGGTATGATCTGGGCCCTGGGGTTTTTCAATCCTTCCAAGTGATTCTAAGGTGCAGCCAAGGTGGAGAACCTCTTTCTCCAGGTAATCTTATCTACACCTACAGTTCTAGCCTCCTGCATGCAGAAGATTCCCAAATCTCCATCTTTGGCTTCTACTTCTTCCCCTGAGCTTTGAACCTGCTATTGGTCTTCATGCTCTGTAATGTCAAAATCAAATGGCCGGACATTATGTGCCTCCTGCTAAGAAGGACCTAACATCCCTTCTGTGGTCTTCTTTGCCAAAATGCATTACCTGAACTCTAATTGTGATAAAACAGCAGACAAACTCAAACTAAGGGACCTTTCCACAAGATGAATAGCCTTCAAAAAATTGATGTCAACGTCAAAGAAATGCAAACGGTTAGGCCACGGTGTGGTAGGGCTAAGGGCCCTATAATCCTAGCACTCTGGTTGAGGTCGGAGGGCGGGAAAGATGAAGATCACTCGAAGGTCAGGAATTTGAAACCAGCCATGAGCAAAGAGCAAGACCACCCGGTCTCTTACTATAAATCGACAGGAAAATTAATCTGGAGAAACTACAAATAGTATTAGGTATATATTCATAATATTGAAAATATATAAAATATTACAATATTATAATATATCTATTAAAAATATAATAATTTAATAATAAAATTAAATAAAAACTATAAAAATGATTAATATTTCTTATAAAAATATTATAGGAAAAAATTAAGCCAGGTGTGTAGGTGCATGCCTAGTCAGTCCCAGACTACTCAGAGAGGCTGAGGCAGAAGTGATCCGCCTGGAGCCCAAGAGAGTTTGAGAGTTAGCTGTGAGCTAAGGCTTGAAGGCCACAGCCACTCTCCAAGCCAGGCAACAGAGCGAAGAACTCTGTACTCAAAAAAAAAAAAAAAGAAATGGCAAAGCCATAAGAATTTTTCAGATGACAAAGAAGTTAAGGACCTAGAATGACATGTAGTGATTCTGGATTGGAATCATAGACCAAGAAAGAAAAATAGCACATAAGAGAACATTATATTGCAAACAATTTGAACAAAGATGGGAAACAAGGTCATGCAGATTAGACAATAACACGTTGGTCATTATGTTAAATTCCCTGACTGATCATTGTACTAACTGGTTATATAAGAGAGATGCCTTGTTCTTAGATGAATTAACACACTGTGAGCATCCTTATTGGGTGAATTACGGAAATAATGTGCTCTAATTATAACTCTACATTAATGCTTTGGAAAAAAAAATAAACTATGCATAGACAAATAAATCAGAGACAGACAAAGTGCAATGGAGCAAAATGTGAACAATTGTGAATCGTAGATACAAGGTTATGTAGAACCTTTCGTTGTTACTATTTTTGCAATTTCTTGTGCATGCATATAAACCTATATCAAGATAAAGGTTGCCAAAATCATACTGTATAGAAAATATAGAGAGATGCTAGAAAAAGAAAGGGGAAAAAAGGCAATGCTCATGAAGTGTTACAACAGCCAGCAGAGTCTAAGAGCATGTTTAAATCTCTGGTAACAAACAAAGCTTGACCTTCAGGGACAACATTGTCTGCGATTTTATTTTGTTTATTTATTTTTTTGAAGACACAGTGTCACTCTGATGCCCAGGCTACAAGTGCCATGGCTTTCATCCCAGCTCACAGCAACCCAACTTCCTGGGCTCACAGCCATCCTCTTGCTCAGCCTCCCAAGGTAGCGAACTACAGGCATGTGGCCACCATGCCTGGGTGAATTTTCTTTTGCTTTTTTTTTTTGGACAGGAGTCTCCTCTGTTGCCCCAGGCTGATGTGAGTGCCATGGCGTCAGCCTAGCTCACGCAGCAACCTCAACTCCTGGGGCTCAAGCAATCCTGTGCCTCAGTCTCGCGAGTAGCTGGGTGACTACAGGGCATGCGCACATTGCCCGCTGATTTGTTTCTATATATATTGTTGGCAATTAATTTTTTTATTTTTAGTAGAGACGGGGTCTCGCTCATTTCTCAGGCTAGTTTTGAACTCCTGACTTGAGCAATCCGCCCGCCCGCCTCGACTTCCAGCGTGCTAGATTATAGGCGTTACGCACACGCCCAGGCCCACATTTTGCATTTTAAAGTGTAAGGGTGAGGAAAACAGGTCTTCCTTTTTTGATACTTCAGCCTGTTGTTCACAGACTCTAATTAAATTGAAATCTAAAAGCCAACACATTCTCCCTTGGGGAGGTTCAGCCACATTTCATGCCTCTCTACCATGGCCTCCACTTCACGCCTTCTCTTTTGTCCCTGCACTCCCAACCCAGGATTTAACTCCAGCAAGGTCTCGCTCTTGCTCAGGGCTGGTTTCGAATCCTGACCTCGTTCAATCAGCCCACCTCGGCCTTCGCAGAGGTGCAGGAGTTAACAGGCGTGGAGGCACCGCACCCGGCCTTCATTCCCTGATTTTTTTTTTTTTTTTTTTTTTGGACAGAGTCTCAGCCTTTGGTTGCCAAGGCTACGAGTGGAGTGCGTGGCGTCAGCAGCTCACAGCAACCTCAAACTCCTGGGCTCAAGCAATCCCTGCTGCCCTCAGCCTCCCGAGTAGCTGGGACTACAGGCATGCACCACCATGCCCGGCTAATTTTTTACATGTATATATAAGTTGGCAATTATTTTTTCTATTTATAAAGTAGAGACGGGGGCTCCGCTCTTGCTCAGGCTGGTTTTAGAACTCCTGCACCTTGGAGCAGACCGTTTCCCGCCTCGGACTGTCCCAGAGAGCTAGATTACCAGGGCGTGAGCCACCGCGCCCAGGCCCGCGCCCCCAGTCCCTGGATTTTTGGATAGGTGAGACAAACCCCACCCCCATGGGCTGAACGTCACTGCTGAATTGGATAACATAGCTCGTAGTTGATTGGTTACGTAAAGTTTTGCTGCGATTGGGATGGGTTTTCTGAATTCTCAACTGCGATGGGATACTCCTCTGCTCATAGTTGGATGGTTTGTGAGAAACCGCCAGGAGAAGTTGGGTAGTAAAAGTGGGAGGAGGAAGCAAGGACAGCCGGCTGTCAGAATTGGTGGCATGCCCCTCTGATGCTGGCCCAGCGTCAATAAGAGGCTAATTCTGGACTCTGTGGCGCTTGGGTTCTTGTCCTGGTCAGTCGCTGTTAACTCACTTGGCTGTTACACTTGCTGAAACAATTTGATTGGTGGTATGATCTGGGCCCTGGGGTTTTCAATCCTTCCAAGTGGATTCTAAGGTGCAGGCCAAGGTGGAGAACCTCTTTTCCAGGTAATCTTATCATACACCTACAGTTCTAGCCTCCTGCATGCAGAAGATCCCAAATCTCCATCTTTGGCTCGCCTACTTCTTCCCCTGAGCTTTGAACCTGCTATTGGTCTTCATGCTCTCTGTAATGTCAAATCAATGGCGGGCGGGCGCCGGTGGCTCACGTCTGTAATCCTAGCTCTCTGGGAGGACGAGGCGGGCGGATTGCTCGAGGTCGGGAGTTCAAAACCAGCCTGAGCAAGAGCGAGACCCCGTCTCTACTATAAATAGAAGAAACTAATTGGCCAACTAATATATATATAGAAAAAATTAGCCGGGCATGGTGGCGCATGCCTGTAGTCCCAGCTACTCGGGAGGCTGAGGCAGAAGGATCACTCAAGCCCAGGAGTTTGAGGTTGCTGTGAGCTAGGCTGACGCCACGGCACTCACTCTAGCCTAGGCAACAAAGTGAGACTCTGTCTCAAAAAAAAAAAAAAAAAAATCAAAATGGCCAGGCTCTTGGTCCCTCCATTGG